AATCAAAACCTCTCAACCTTGTCCATTATATACAAACACACACACACACACACACACACACACACACACATGTTGTGTATTCATCACGTTATGGGGACATTCCATAGGCGTAATGGTATAACTATATAATATAAAATATAATACAAATATAAAGTCATTTATTATAAATTAAATAAACACAGAAACAGGAGAAATAAAACATTAGTTAGTTAGAAGAAATTAGTCAAGGCTAAAAGTTTTTTTTTATTTTATTTTCAAAATTAGCAGAGGATGACGTGTCACTTCCTTTGAAATTAAAAATGAAGTTGTTCCACATAAGGCAGGCCTTCACCTATCAGGGGCATATTATTGAACGCAAGTGGTTTCCAGAAGTCTGTAAAAGAGGTTAAGAACATAGGGTAAGGTCGTTCTTTCAGTGTGAGTAACCCATACTTTCAAACAGAAATGTGTTGGTCTTCGCCATCTGTGATTAGATTTGTAAAAACATGTATTGTATACCACATTACTACTGATCAATAACTCCTCTCAGAACTGTTTTTGTCTCTGTTTAACACAGAATCATAAACCTGGAGGCTTTAACCTCGCCACCCTTGTTGAGAAAGCTAAAAGTCATCCACAGTTTATAAAAGTCTCTTGACTTAGTTTTGCAGAAGTAATTATCTATTCACAGCAAGTAAGGAAAATAAAAGCCTCTGATTGGTCCCCTTCACGCATGGCGGTGACAGAACAATGCACTAGTGAGGGTCTGCTCACTCCAAGGAGCACAGCTGTGTCTACGCACATCCTAAAGGGCTTACACACACAAACACACACACACACACACATGCAAAGGCCCATCATTGGAGGCCATAATCACACCAAAAACTATAATATTCAATAAAAGCGCCCAAAACAAGAGAATGTCGATGAGACCCCTCGTTAAATTCCAGTCCCTCTTTATCTTTATCTCTCTGTCTCTTTGGAGATGAAATATCTTTGGTGGTGAAAAACGGAAGGGGAGCCTGTTATGCATCTATAGATACATATTATGCAGGGAATGCTACCTCCTATGTGTTTTAATTTGACTTTAAAAGCACTCTCCCAGCTGCCAGGGCTTTTAATAGTTATTCACTTACAAATGATTGCAGGTCATTACACAGTCATTGGGAGGGCAGTAATGAGATGGGCTTAATGGCTCTTGGTAGTACATCGCCACAAAGTTCCCGTCAGTAAGTTTTATTTTTTTATTTTTTATGATTCTTCCATATGAACTGTGTTCGCTTAAACTCCATTTGGTGAAAAATATACAGCTATCTGTTTTAATGAAAACAAATTACGAGTTGACACCGTTCAAGGCTGAGGTAAGCAATCACATCATCAAGGGGTGGAGGAGTGGCAGAGAGAGAGAGAGAGAGAGAGAAAGTAATCTTATCATCTTCCTAGACAAATATTGTGTTAATCTTTGGTCATGTTAATTCTGCTCTCAGCCCCTCTTTTCATCATAATTTAACTGTGGCCACTGACAGCAGGCATAATCAGATGTGGATGTAAACGAGTTGGTATTTATTAGGGGCCGGCGTGGACACTCGCCGAGACACGAGTGCCCACCCGTCCTTATCCCTATTGATGTACAACGCTGACAAGTAAATTAAATTTACCTTTGGAAATGGTTCTATTAGTATTTTTATTAGGTTAATTAAGCAAGCTCTGGGGACTCGTTGAATGGGCGAGACTGGAGATTAATTCACTGTTCTCCTTGTGCTGGAGGACTAAGGCGGTAATTCCCGCGCAGCCGTCCTCCTCTTGATCTGCTCATCACCACCACACGACGCCACTTCATTAACGTGCCATCACTGCATCCTCACCTTGATTCCCTGCAATGGGCTCTCCTAAAACACCAGATAAGCTGGTATAAAATACATGGATTCCAGAATACAGAATGCAGACCCCACATTCAAATATGCCTACTTCCGTACTAAGCAGAATGCGAAAAGTAAGTCAAATAAGTAGTATGTCTGGTAGTATGTACTACATCCACAATTCACATCCAGTGGACACTTTACTGTGCCATTAGGCAATTTAAAATTAATTATCATATTTGTAAATGGCAGGAACAGCAAAAATGTGTACTTTATAATGGTTAAAAGCTTCATAAGGTCATATCTGCTAACAATAATGCATTGTTTCATGAAGAAAAATAAGAATGATTAATAAATGTTATTTATAATATACTATTGTTCATTGTTCATTGCTCATAATGTTAATTTATTTAACATGAAATGATACAATTGTATTAGTATATGTAGAAACATTAACAAAGTTTAATAAATCTTGTAAAAGTATTGTTTATGATTATTTCCATGTCAAATATTTCTGTCATAAGTGAACTGGTTTAATATATAAAATCTCATTGTAAGGTGTTACCAAATAGTGCAAATAATAAAATAAGTAAATAAATAAATAAACAATTAATGTTGCAAACTAGTAACGTTTATTTATTTACTTATTTTTTTGTTTGTTTGTTTTACATTCTCTCAGCTTTACACTGTAAGACAATGACAGTCATATTGACCAAGTCTGTTAGGAAAAAAAAAGTCATCATAAAAAGAATCATAAAAGCTCTTCACAAATTCTCGAAAATGTTTATAATGGAATAATATGTAGGTGTGTAAATAAATGGCATAAACTGTTCTCTATATTTCCATTTAATTCATAAAAAAAAAAAAAAGTAGACTGTTCCTGCATACCGTATGATGACCTCAGAGAGAGCAAGCATGCCTGTGTGTTTGTCTGAACTAAATTCTCTCAGGTCAAGAGAGCTGCTGACCAGACTGACTCCAGCTGAGCGGGCATTAGCCTGTCCTGCACGTGGCATCTGCCCAGTGGGAGAGCCAATACAGTGCGGGCAGCACAGAGCTGGGCTCCCCTGATGAAAGCTGTATTGATTGAGAAAAAGGTCTTTTGATAAAGCAGATTGCTCATCGGAGTGGAACCTCATGCTCCTCAGATATAATCGGCCGGCTGCCAAATCGACCCTGACGCCTGCAGCCGTCACCAAAGCAGGGAAACGTCCTCATCTCTCATCCGCTCTGATCACACTGAAGCGGCCCATCGATTGCCAACCGCACCTCCTCTGGACTGTGTGAGTAAAGTACATGAAGGCGGTGCTGGCCGTACTGCAAGCTTCCCCTCGGTTATTCGGCTCACCCCCAAGAGTGTGGTCTGTGCTCTGCCGAGAACATTTCTCATTTATTCCACCAAAACCAAATCAGACCCAATGTCAGTCTCTTTTGGGACTGGAGGAAATCAAATGTGCTTCCATCAAATGCATTACTTGTGCTTTTACAGGGATGAAAACAAATCACCTTGAACAGTTTCACTTATATGGTATTATGGTCAACTCCACAGATGTGTGCGATTGAAAAGCGTGTTTTTGGCACGGCATAGCGTGAAGTAGCAATGCCCGTCAATGTTATTTATTCACTGAGAGTAATTACAGGCGGGTGAGTGGAGAGTAAGGAGTTGAGGACAGTGCTACACAATTGTTTTGCCACTATGGTGGGTCTCTTCATGTTTGTGCTAATGAAAGAAGGGGCTGATGGATGTTTTATGATGGTTATGTATTACATACACTGAGTTTAGCATGAGCTGCATCGAACTCTCTGGTATTGTATGTGTTTGGTTAAATCACCTAACTCTACTCTCTGAAGAGTCTCATTGGAAGTGTTTGGAGAACGGTTAACCCTTTGGGGCTCAAGTGTCATTTGACTGTTTTTACTGTAATCAGCATGCTACACAACAACACAAATGTGCTCATGTATTCAGAGTGCTTTCATCTGGACTGTAAAGGACAAGAAGTGGAGGAGACTGGGAATGGTTGTAACACTTTTTGCTTTAATGTCTAACTCTGTAATTTTGGGCGGCAATTGGCCCAAATGTACATTACAAATTAGTCGTTTTGAAATCTATATTCTCTACAAATAAGCGGGGTGTTATAACACTATAGAAAACATGGAAATCAGTAAATTTTTTATACATTCATTTTGTTAATCAAATTTACTCAAAATAATTTATTATTTTGAATAATAACTTTCTATTTAAAAAAAAGAAAATATAAAGAAATATTTCATTCTAAAGATACACAGTGCCCTTAATAATTGATTATAATTGATTTTAACCTGGCCCTGACCTGGGCCGAAAAGGCTGAGCCAATAGCATTTGTGCGTCAGAGAAATGGGGAAAACAGGCCAGCACGCATCTGTAAAAGCTCCAGACGTGTAGTACAGATAAAATATTTAGGCTGCAGAATCCTTGACCTCCCTGTGTTAGCCAGCTCCCAACTTGAATTGATTTCTGACAAGACAACTGGGACACAATTACAACAAAATGCACTAAAGCCGTCCAGTTGTGTCTCCAAACACTACCGCCAGTTTAACCTCTTCAGCACGACTGGGGTTGAATGCAGGGCCAAGCTCTGGCCGAGTGAACATACGGTGGATCACACCACCTCAGGGAGAGACCGATCAACCTAAACAGAAATCCTGCAGACAAAGCCCCTTTCCTCTTCTCATGATCGTAAGCAAAACAGCAGTGGTATTCTGACCTCCGATCTTATGTTGTTTCTACTCTGGGTACCAGGGATGAAATGAATCTCTCTGGGTAAAGGCCTTATAGCACAGAGAGAGAAAGTTAGCACAGAAAAAGGATGTAATGTCCTTTTCCCGCAACATGAAATATCCATGATTTTGAGTATTATAAAGAACAAGCATAGCGGGTGCACTTAGCTCTGTCCAGATTGCTGGGAATAAGGTCAACAAGAGATTCCAGAGGACAACCTGCACATGGATGCAGCACGGGAATCTGTGCACAAATAAACCATGACTTTGTGCAAGTGGATCCACTATGGTTCCAAAGTAGTTGAACATAAACCCCACAGAGATGGGAAAAAATATACATATTTGGGGTTAGAAACATCTTTGATGGATTTCACAAAACTGCTTCTATCATACGCATTAGTTGATTGTTGGAAACAGTTGTGCTGCTTAATATTTTTTTGGAAAATGTGATATTTGATACTTTCTTCAGGATTATTTGATGAATAAGCATAAACATTTATTTAAAATAGAAATATTTTCTAACAATATAAGTCTTTAATTTCACTTTTTTTATCAATTTAACACATTCTTGCTGAATAAAGACATCTCATTTCTTTTAAAAAATAAACTTGTTTATGGTACTGTACTGAAAAAGTATCACAGGTTCCAAAAAAATATTGATAATAATGATAATAAATCAGCATATTAGAATGATTTCTGAAGGATCATGTAACACTGAAGACTGGAGCAATGATGCTGAAAATTCAGCTTTAATCACAGGAATACATTATATTGTAATGTATATTAAAATAGAAAACCATTATTTTAAATTGTAAAGATTTTTCACAATATTACTGTTTTTTCTGTATTTCTGATCAAATAAATGCAGCCATGATGTGCAGAAGAGACTTCTTTAAGAAACATTACAAATCTTACTGATCCCAAACTTTTGAACGGCAGTGTATATGTATGCATGTATGTATGTATGTATGTATGTATGAGCTGCAGTCAGTAAGTACATACTGCCGCCATATGTAACATCTCATGCATGCACTACAAATATATTCAGTGAATAACTATGTTGTCTCATAATGCTTTGTCACCAGAATGTTTTTTTTATGGTAAAGACAACCTCAACCTTTAACTTGCTTATTAGAGTTCATGTATATGATCTACTGACATAAAAATAAGAAATGGCATGCCTGCATTTTACCCACCATGTAGACAAACACTGGCATCACATGGAGCACTGCTGTATAGTGTCGTTTTTTTTTTGTTTTTTTTTTCTCTCGGCAGAACACGCGGTTGTCAGTTAGGACGTGAGCACTGAATGTTCTCTCCTGATGCACTAAATAACTTTAATAGCATGTTAATCCTGTGGCGGACCAGGCTTGGGGCTGTCCAGGTTTGATGAGGTTGCTTGGGTTTAACCAAGTTCATTATGGTCATTGGACTTATGAGCTTGTGTAGCCACCGCAAGCTCACACACACACACACACACACACACACACACACACACACGCTATTTGTTTATCGACCAGTGAATGAGTTCCCACTCTTTAGGGAAATCAAGTCTCTTTAAATTGGATCAAACCACATCTCTCTTCCATCAAATGCATTACTTGACCTCACAATAATTTGTCATGAAAAACAAAACAAAATAAAATGAAAAAAAAGTTTAAAAAAATAGAATTTATGTTAAAATGTACATAATTATTATTTGTACGTATGAATTGCATTTAATGCATTTTTAAATAAATGAATAGAAAGGACAATAATGTCACGTCATTGGTCCGTATACAAAGTAGCAGTGCCATCCAAAACAGAAAAAGCTTCATTATTCTACAGACACAGAAAAATAGAACAAGCTGTAAAATTGTTCAGTGGTTGTGTGTGCATAAGTGTGTGTGTGTGTGTGTGTGTGTGTGTATGGATGTCATACGGTAAGCCAGCCAGAGCAAAACTAGGCCATTAATCATACGCCAGTGATGGAAGCAGTGTGTGTGGCGAGGCGGGGTCAAACTGGGGCTATTAAAGGAAGGCACGGGACCGGGGCCTCTGTTGTGCTAACCTCGAGATCCCTGCAGGCCCTGGCTGGGCCGGAGCCCCAGCTGTCCCCCTCTGCCTGACACCCAGCTGGCTAGAGTGAGAATCGGGCACAGTCCAAGCTGCCGCCCAACCTCCCCTCGTGAGTAAGAAAGGGGGGCCTTCGGGGTGGTTAAGAGAAGAGGAACTCTCCAGTCAACAAACATCCTGTGGCTAAAACCGAGCACAATAACATCTATGGACTTGTGACGTACTTGAACAGCTCTTATTAAAAGGGATCTCTCAGCCTGATTAGACTTTGTGGAAACATTTTTAGTCATACGCACCAGCCAATGGACTCGTATTACGCACATGCATACACACAACTCCAGACCACAAGCCATCATTTTTACTGGCAAAGTTACAAGTCCGGCTTTCATGTTGTGTTTTACTGTTTTAACATTTTACAGCTGGTCAACTCCATTCATCTGGACTGCAATTTACAGCATGTCATCATATTACATATGACCACATGAATGCTACTGGCGAGTCAGTAATTATAATGCGAGTTCATCAGTATGCTGCTGGTTAGGACACGATGTGCTTCTCAACGGTCAGCGTCATTACTCAGACCCAACCAAGGTGTTTCTTTTTTTTTCTTTTTGAGTAAATACCTACCGATCTCACTCCGTCTGCTCTCCCTGCAAGCGTTCCCTCAACTAATCTCAAAGACTTCGACGTAGTTCAATTAAATTCAAAGTTGGCATGCATTGCAAGCATCAGTGCTATCAGTGATTCAGTTCTCTTTATAGCCAATCTATTTTTTAATAACGGTTCTGATGAAAACATTACAGTATTGATCTTTATTTATTGATCTAGCAGAGAGCATAGTTAAGGCTGACACAAATCAATCAAAATAAATTTAAAATGACGATAGAGTACAGCAGGACTTGAGGGTGAGCTCGGAGCTTAATTAGTGAAATGCTGAGAGGGAACCCAAAGCAATATCAGACAGTAATACAGTGGCTCAGCTGTGTTTGTGTGGGCCAGATTACGCATTTGTATTGTATTAAAGCTAGAAATTGCCAGTCAAGGTTAATGAAAGGGCAACTTACTTTAGGCCACAATAATCCCCAAGAAAACCTCTCTGCACAACAAACTGATGTATCGCATAAAGCATGTGCTCAAAGGCTCAGACTGTACATTGGCCTGTGGCATGGGCATCTAGCTCTCAGGAGAAATAAAAGGAGAGAGTGAGAGAAAGAGAGAGCATACTGTCCGTGTCAGGAGCGGCAGAAGTGTTATTTTAAACGGAGGAATGTAACCTGTGCCTGACACAAGACTAGGTATGTCTAGCTTTAAATCAAGTTAGAGAGCAAAGGTCCCAAGAATACACACGCAGAACAATACACACACACACACCCCAAGAAACATTAACAGGATTTTCTCTTGACTTTAGCGCGATAATACTGCACAATGACTATTTCTAGAATTGCCACATTCCTGCATTCTAAAAGTGACCACCAGAACACATTTTTCAATAATCATTGAACAACAAATATACTGAAATTACTGATTTAAAGAAGGAAATTCTTGTAACATATTAAAGAACCTTCACAGAACTCTTCTCCATACAACTATAATTCATAGTGACCACATCTGCTGAACTCTAAAAAACACACAAAAAAAAGAAACACCAAAAAAGGAACATAAAAGTAGCTCATATATTCCAAATCTCCTGAAGCCACACAATAAGCTTTGTGCAAAAAATAGAACAAAATATATGCAGTTATTCACTGATAATTTTCTCTTTCAGTGAGCTGTTTACTGAGAACCTGATCATTGAGGCAGTGAATAGAAATAGGATTAGTGAATGAATCATTATTTTGAACCATTACACATTAGACAAAATGATTATTTCACAAATTGCACTGTTTATTTAATGAATTGGTTGTTAATGTTCACAAATTGGACAGAATAATTATTTCAGAAATTACACTGATTCTTCAATAAATCGGTTCACAAATTGGACAGAATGATTCACTGACAAACTGAGCAGATTCTTCAATGAACCAGTTGTTATACACAAACTGGACAGAAAGATTCTTTTGGGAATTGCACTGATTCTTTCATGAGTCAAATTGATTCTTTCAAGAATCAAACACAATGATGACTCAATAATCTGGTTGCAGCAGTTATTGAGTAACAGCTCACCAGTAGGGAAGATTATAATTGAATAACAACTTAAATTTCAGGTCTGTTCTTCACGCAAAGCTATCTATTGGTTTCAGAAGACTTGGAGAACAAGTCTGTGTTGTCTGTATTGTTCTCTAGACTTCTGAAATCAAAAGATAGCGTTGTGTGAAGAACAGACCTGGACTACTTTTTACTACTTATTTTTATTTATTTATATTTTCATACAAATATTTGGAGTCATATTTGTAGCTTAAAGGCAATGAACTATGTCAGTATGACCTGTCATTTTAAGGAATAGTCCTGTGAGATCATTCTTCAAATTCACATTTTTTTATTCTACAGAAGAAAGTCATATAGCTTTGGAACAACATGAATGATGACAATTTTCATTTTGGGAACTACCTCTTTAAAACACATGCAAGACACACTAGAACTAGACTGATCTCTCTCTAGTATGATGGGAGTGATAACATGAGACACATTTTAAACTCACAGAAATATTAATGAGTTTACAAGGACCTTCCCATTATAATTATGTAGAGCAACTGTGGCATCTTAGTGGGCCAGCGCTCCCTGTGGGATACATAAATGTATCAGGCTAGCAAAACTCACCTACTTTTAACAAAACAGTTTACATGCAGATACAAATAACTCCAAGCATCCTTCATAACTATCAGCCGATGAATGGCTATGCCATCTGCAGCTTAACGACTCAAATAACTTCTTCAACCCAACGCTGACAGTTATTGTTCAAAGCACCGCCCGTAACCTTTACAAAGGACACATTTTCAGGACATTCTCACATTACTTTCTTCCTAACGCAACTCTAAAAGCATTTTCTGAGGAATTTGCGAGGGGAGAGAGGGGAGTTAACTTGGACTTTTTTTAACTAAGTGAAATATCTCTTTGCTGAATTACTGCTATGAAAACCATGGCCAATCACTGGCACGCTAGAGTGTCACCATAACCATGTTTGACAACTCCTGACTCTCAACTCATTGGACGGGCTGAACCTCAAATCCACATAGAACTTGTGAGCTGTCTGGTGAGCAGCAGATAAGCATGTTAGAGAGACAGCAGATCTGTCTGTACCCAAACTGACTGCTGCTCTGGAAGAGTAATTACAGGAAGGCCTGTGGTAATTAGCCCACCTCTCACTGTGTTTGTCTGTTTTTAAGGCTGACAAAAAGAAAGAAAGAAAAAAAACCTTGAAGCTGACAAAGCCGCAGCCCAGGTTTACCATATGGGAGCGGATGGATAGTGTCGAACAGCATGTTGGGTTACGTGGAACTGAGTCAAACGCGTAAGCTTAGCTACAGGGATCTCAAATCTGAAGACGCCCCTCCTGATACCACCAGTCTAACAGACAAGACAGCCACAATCTGCATCCCTCACCGTTTGTTGTCAAGGACGTTTTAAGCAGATCTGTCTAGGCAGAGCTCAATGATGAGGATAAGGGCTAATGTGAGAGAATTTGGGGCCAGTTGATGGAACTGTCACTTGCCAGTGCTTACGTACCAACAATTTCATATTTGCATATCATGTTCATGAGCTTTTATGTGTTTATGCCAACAAAAGTGTAGCTGTCAGTGTCACAGTTCAGCAGTAAAATTTCCAGATATTGTCAATTCAAGCATTATAACAAATTGCGTAAATTATTTGTTGTGTGTACAGTATTTACTCAAGTTATGTTTTTGTTAATTGGCATAATATATTACTGTTGTAATAATATTATAATAATAATACAGATGGCCAATAATCTCAAAAAACGCCAAATATCGTTTTGGAAATCAGCCTGTCTGATATATCAGTCTATCACTAAAAACAATACGTATTGTTGAGCCCTGCTATGCAAGATGTGTTTGCTTCTTTTGTCCTTGCATCATAAAAGCTGTCGAAATAAACAAAAAAACTTTGATGGCTAGTTCGAGAGAAATTCTTCACAAATAGCTTGTGGACAGTTAGAGAAAGAAGAACGGCCCGTCACCATCATAAGAGGTGTCTGCTGAACTCTTAAACGTACTGACTCAGAGGAAGATAATAATAAACTCACAAGGCTTATTTCCAACAACAAAAGAACTCCTCCGTCGAAATGAAAGACTATGACAAATCGTTGTTCTAATGTTTCCTGTGTGGGTGTGCCATATGTGAATGCGTCTGTGTGTGTGTCCCTGTTGGCCAAGCAGCAGGGTGACTACTCCCCCTGTCTTCCCACCATCTGCCCAAGAGAGAGCTCCTCCAGCACCCCTTAAAATTAATTAAATTAAAGTTTAAATAAAAATATTTACATATTAATGAAAATTTTAAAAAATATGTACCGATAAAAACAAGAAATACAATTTAAAAACAATAAATAAATACAATTATACAAAATTAATAAATAAAGCAAATGTACCTATAATCATTTTACCAAATTACCAAGCCGTGTGACTTTTAGCAACAACCCCAAAGATGAACATTATGCACTATATGTAAATAATATTTGCAAACTTAATCAAAATTTAAATTAAAACCAAAGAAATGTGCACTCCAAAATGCAGACTTAAAATTAACTTCAAAATCCTAAATATTAACTTAATAATCGGCCTAATCGATACCACTAGGAAAGGGCTCACAAAAGCAAACATCTCAAATCACCACTTCTCCTCATGCTTCTTCTAGTCTCCGTCGAAATGAAAGACTATGACAAATCGTTGTTCTAATGTTTCCTGTGTGGGTGTGCCATATGTGAATGCGTCTGTGTGTGTGTCCCTGTTGGCCAAGCAGCAGGGTGACTACTCCCCCTGTCTTCCCACCATCTGCCCAAGAGAGAGCTCCTCCAGCACCCCTTCCACGATCAGTACTTTTCCAGGCTAAAGCCAAGAGAACGAGACATCCAGCTAACTCTGCAGGTCCAAGCCATTGCTCACCTGTGTCAATGAGAACAGAAGTCTCACTGATGAGCAGTTAATCAAAGGAACTAAAGTTAGGAAACTAACTATTGAAGAATTCTAAAAGTTCTGAACATGTGCAAAAGGAGTGCACATAAAAAAATAAAAA